CTGCATCAAGAAATATGTGGTAGGAGAAGTTATGGTAAGGGATGGGACATCAGTGTTCGATCCAAAGAATAAGTTCACCTTGTTAGAAGACAACAAAAAACAGACTTCTGGCGTTGCTGCTCACAGCTACAGCAAGGCAAATATGTGATTTATCTTTTGAGCTACCAAGAGTAAAGCATTCTAAAGATGAAGACCACTTCGTCTTCTAAATGAAGAGCCCTGATAAAATTATTTGATAAGGACCAAAAATGTTTATCTCCATTCACTGAATTCATTGCATTCTTCCGTCAATCCAGCTCCACAGGTCCTGGCATCCCTGAAAATTCCTGCTTTCTTCATAAGTGCCCTGAAGAAAACAGTTCAAAGGAACCAGCAGCACAAACCCATTCCAATCTCTGGTGCAACTCTGCCTTCCAGGTCCAACGGATCTTTGCACATTTCTAACAGCGACACAAATTCTGTGGACTCCTCTGAAGATGATGTTGTTCCTTTTGGTCTGTGATACTCTCAACATGAAGAACTGGCTCAATGGAATCCCTATCCCTCTGTTATTCCTGCTATTTCTTGGTTCCTAATTATATGACTTATAAACTTTCTGAAAGCAGTCCACTGCTACCAGCGGGTTTGTCTGAGGAACAGAACTATTCCCTGAGATTCCAGTATCCCACGGGAAGCCTCCTGTGCAATGAAAACACTGTATTTCCTTTCAGCAGTTTTCTGTATTTTGCCAACATTTTGCTCTACAGAAATCCTGCTTTTGTTTCAGTGTTGATATTTTGAGACAACTGCAGACTGCCCAGCTAATTGTTGCCTCTTGCTGCATCATTTGTTAAACTTCACCTCAGTCAAGGCATCCAGAAAACCCCTTTGGCAGTAATGGAATCAGATTTCTTAGCAAGGTGCCTCCATTTTCTCAAGGGTTTCCTAAACACATCCTATACTAGTGTTTTTAAGTGTGTTTTCCCCTGTAACATTTGCCCCCCTGTGAATTACAGAGAGGAGTTGGCATGCCTGGACAGCCATTTCCACTCAGTTGCTGTAGAGCAACTCACCTGTCAACAAGCTCACCTCCGTAGGACACCGGTACCACCACGCTTTGCCCAGGCCTGATGGTTGCTGTGATTTTTCCAGCTATTTAGAAACCAAACTTTCAGATTTTCCCAGTCTGACAAGTAATTGCAGGTGTCCTTAAACAAGACCTCTCGGAATGGAAATGCTGCATCGCTGTAACCATTGCCAGGGGCCCTTTCAAGCGGTACAACCATTTATCCTTCAAGAACACACACTTCAGCTGTGATCATTTTCCATGCTTTTAAGACACAAACCATTTGTAAATGAATCAGTGTTTCACCAGTGTCAGTAATAGCAGTGTAACAGAGGGATGCCTTGCCAGAACTTCCCCATTAGCATTTCTGGGAGGAAGCACTGCCTGCCACAAAAGCCATTATCCTCAAGAGATGTGCTTCTATACTGATGTGAATTATTCTTTCCCAGATCATCCTGTCTTTCTTGGAAAGCCAAGTAACACAGCTGCTATTGTGCCAGCATCTGGAAGCAAAACAATGTGCTCACTGCAAACTAATTGCCTTCCAGACACCATTTTTCCAATTTTGACAAATTTTTAGGAGAATTTCCTCAAATCAAACCCATATGCATTTTTTACTATCTTTTTTCCTGTTACACATTATGATCATAATTAGATTTGATTAATCATAAAAACAGTAGAATGATGAGTTAATAGAGGACTAATTTTCAGAGGCAATCTTCCCCATTTGTTAGTGGGAATATATGTTCACTCTCACTGTTTTCTCTTGAAAGACAATCCAGGATAAACTGTCCTATAGTTAGACACTTTCTGAACATCTGCACTATCAGTCTAAGTTTAGTTGCTGTTCACTCACACGTTTCACAGATCCTGATGCACAGAGTAGACAAATTTTCATTGTTAGATGCCCAGACCTGAAGAAAACCTACAAGTCTATTTCTTGAAATCTTTTGAGTTGCATCTGAAGCTGCAGCACAACCCCTTCTCTCATCATCTTCTCCTGAAGATGATGCACTGAAGCACCTCTACCAAACCCAACTTCCAACTGCAGAACCAATCCACCCAGATAACACAGCTTTGTTTCAGATGTCTTACTTCAGAAGAAGCAGTGTAGTTGTTTGTGCCATTTCTCCTGAAGAGGGAAGCTGCCATGGTCACTAATTACAATGAAGATTTCATCAACCTGTAAATAATACAACTAATCATTCCCAGATTAATCCCAGATTAGCCACACTGGTTTTCTCCTTGGAAATTGAGTATCAGATGGTGTTAACTTAAAACAACTGGATACTCTGGATATCATATGATCTGAAAACAAAAGAAGTGATTGGCATGGTAACTTCCTGAGCTGCCCTTCCTGAGCTGGTAGAATACCAGAGCAAACAACACAAAGGCCTCCTTGGTCATACCATTCATGGGAATGCATCTTATTTCCAGAGCTGGTGACATTAACCTTCAGCTGTAATGCTCAAGGAGCACTTCTCTAGCAAACGGAAGTATTTTAACACTTGAGAACTGAGCACTCCATTAAATATTATGGATTATTTCATGTAAAATCCTTCAAATGACAAGAAATGGTACCATTCATCCAACATAAACCTGGAATAAATTCTGTACCTACAGGATAGCAGAGGCAGATTTCTCAAGAAGTGTCTTGCTAGACATGCTATAATCTGCAATTCACTGCCTGGACACAAACCAACCCTCTGGGTAACTGACTGAACATCTGACTTTCATATCTGAACAGGAGCTTGCTGCTATTCCCTGCCCTCAGTTCTCTGGGACAGCTACAGTATAAACACATCCCTGTTAAAAAAGGAGAAACCAAATTAGAGCGAGCCTTTTCTTTCAGAGGCTTCCCATTCAGCACTTCAAGTAAAACATCCTTCATTTCTTTGTAAACAAATCTCACAGAAACCATTTGATCTCAGGCGACCAGGATCTAGAGACCAGCTATCTGAATAGCTTGAGACACTCTGCATCCTGAAGTGGATGATGTAAGGCTTCAGTGCCTGCATGGAGACAGCTGTTCCTATTAGAGAACCACTCTGATTTACGTGGCAGTTTTTAGTGGAAGTTTCACATGCTATTACTGCAGTGAAGGAGAATTTACATTAGCATTCTAGACAAAGTGACATATGGGCATGTATCATTTATCATTATCTCTCAAATCAACAAGATGCAGACGTCCAGAGTTCCTGAACTGTCCTGCTACACTGGCTGCCCACCTAGTAAAGCTCCATTTCAGCAAGCCGTCGTATTTGACTGTGGCAAAGAGGTCTTTATCCCTGCTGGAACTTTGCAGCGTCATCACTAAGGGTGTGAGAGGCTTTTTCCCCTTCCAAACTGGAGGCCAGCCTTGCCCTGCTCCCTGCCAGCCTAGTCCCTGCTCTAGCCCAGCATCGCAACTGCGGATGGAGTATTTTGAGAAACCCTACACAGAGCTGGCACTCCATAAGCTTTGTCATGACAGCATCCCTCCTCCTGGAGCTTGCTAGGACAGTGTCCGATATTTGGGTTTGTGCATGGGGAACCCTCAGCTGTGTACAAGTACCATTTTTTGAATGGTTTCCAGACTAACAGCACAGAAGGGGTGGAATACATCACAGCTTTGGCCCGATAGCCTGTGAAACTGGCAAGGAGCAATTGCAGACTCTGCAGGCAGACAAGGATCCAGAGAAAGCATCAGCACACTGCCAAGGCTAGATGGCATAACTTGTTGATAATTTCACATATTCACTAAAAATGAATACATTTTTCTATATACTGACGTTCAAAAGATTTTTTAAAAATCACTTAAAAAATATTAACATCATATTAGCACATATGCATACAAAGTCTGTTCTGCCAAAGAAAAGGTAGTCCAAGACAGAAGGAAAAAGCACAAATGTTTACATTAAAATTTAATTTCATAAACTTCTATTAGTAGGCCCTAATCTCACTGCAGACTTCCTAAGGCACAAAATCTTTATATGAAAAGAAACCTAGAGCAACCCTTCCTTCAATCCAGTGCCAGCTGGTACCTTTTCATACACAGACTCAAAACTCCATGGAGCAGGATGTCACAAATGCAACATACATTGACTAGCACTTTTAGAATATTACCAACTGTTTGTACTGAAATAAATACAATTGGGCAATAAAAACCATCACAGCTTTGTTATAATTTTCATCCACATAAATATCTAGATTCTATTTTCTATTTCAAGAAGAATACATTAAATGCTTCAAGTCTTCGTGCATCAGTTAGTCTCATGATTCACTGATGCAGATCCCATAATATCAAAATAATTATAAAATATTAAACTCCATTATTAGGTCCATTTTTTTTTCAGATTGTAGTTGTATATTTATTTAAACAAAAAAACCCCTAAGGAATCTGTTGAGTCATACATCCCTGAGTGGCATATAGTACAGAATTCATCCCTCCTATTCACCATGCATGCAATGCAATATTTATACTGCAGATGTTTTCAAATGTGGTTTTATTCCAGTGATCTATTTGCAGTCTAGACATACATTTGAAAACAACAATATGCAAACATATCACAGAACAGTACCTAAAAAAATCTTTAGTATATACTCCTTTATAAAAGGTTTTGACACAATGGAAAAGTCAGTCCAGAAAAACTCATGTTACCAGGTTTCTTGATAAACAAAATATTATGAAGCCCTCTAACCTGCATGAGCACAAGTATCCATAGCAATGGATCCCTCTTTTAAATCCTCCTTTTAAATAAACAGGTTTAAATGTTGTTTGGTAAACAAGTTTCTATCACAACACTGTCCATTTAATTTTGTGCTTTCCAAAAGGCAAGCATACTACAGAAATAAAATTCCCTACCCAACAGGAGAGAGAAATTCAGTAAACATGTATTTGTTTCCCATTCCAGCAGAGGAATCCAAGTTCACTGAAATTTTCATTATGTCTAAATCCATCACACCCTGCTTATACCTTCTTCTTCTTCTTCTTTGCCTGCTCTCCAGAGTCTACTTTACGTTTCTTAGCAGAAGCTGGTTCATCATCTTTTTCACCATCTTTAAATAAAAGACAGAGTTAATCAATGTCAGCAAAGCCAGTATTTTGTCTTAAACACCATCCTTGTCTCAGAAAAACTGACTTAACCACACTTGAGAAGCCTGGAAAAAAGACACAGTAGTATTAACTGATAATATCCTCATTTTTGGAATACAGACAGTATGTGGACAGAACAGGAACGGTTATTTGTTATTACTACCATAGACCATTAAGGATAACTTAAGAAGAGGCTTTATGCTATTGTACAGTACCTGTTCTAAAAAACTTATTATTTGAATAGATAATAAGAAAAGTTAGAAAAGGACATTGTAGAAGCAGGAAATATCATCATTATCGTGGCTAGGCTTCGCGAACGAAGATTTGGGAAAAAGCAGGAAATAATGTCAAGGTTAATTAACCATTTATAGTCTTACTTTAGATGAAGACTAAGAGAAATGCATGGGATGAACATAGAGAGCACATGGAGCAAGACATACGGCAAAAAAAAAAAAAAAAGAGCAAGACAGCAAAAAACCCATTCCTTTGGAAAAGGTTTGCTGAAAACTTTACTGGTGAACCAAAACATTATTGTGTGTTCTGAAAGCCCAGAATTTCTTCTTCTGGTTTTGTTCTCTTGGTTGTTGCTGGTTATTCTCTTTCTCCAGTAATTAAAAAAAAAATAATTCCTCCCACCTGTCAAATATTTCTTTACTTCCTAGATTACCATTGCAGCTTGTACCATGATTAAAAGTGAAGGGGATAGTAAATATTTTCTTCAGTAATCTGTCACATGGACATACTATTTAATTCCCCTCTTGGACCTCAAGTTTTGCAAATGCTCTAAAAATAATCTGACCTACCTCTACATCCAAGGTCAACACAGCAACACCTGAAGAAGCTCTCATACCATTTTAGCAGCACCATGACTGAACCTGTTACATTCACAGAACTAGAGCTCTACAGTTTTTAATCCTTCTCTGCTAATGGCAATGGGACAGGAGCGGAGGGACTGCTGGGGGGCTCTATATTGACTCTAGGAAAGTCGAAACACCGGCAGTGCAGTTCAACCATCCCCGCAAGCAGAGCGCTCTGTCCTTGGGCAGCAGGGGATGCAGGACAGGCCTGCGGAGATTCCTCCGGGCTCAGGGCAGGGAGGGCTCCGCTCACCGACCACTCAGGGACCCGCCCGCCCAGCCCGGCTCTCGAAACACACCCAGCCTGTGCAGGGCACAGCCGCCCCACGCCGGGGCCTCACCCGATTCCAGGGGCTCCTGCTCCTCGTCCGGCAGGAACTTGGCCTTGCCGGCCGGCCGGGGAGCGTCGTCGCCGTTGTCTTCGTAGATGTTGGACCACTTGATGGCCATGTCGACGGCGGGCGCCGGCGGCGGCGGCTTCTCGGGCGGGCTGTAGGTCTCCGGCGGGGGCACGGCGTTGCTCCTCCACACCTTGAACTCCCTGGGGGGCTGCGGGAGAAACCAGAGCGCCCGTCACACTGCGCAGGAGGGCCGGGGACGGCCCTGCCGGCGCCTCGGCCGCCGCCGCGCCCCCCGCACCTCCTCGGGCGCCCGCAGGACGCGGCTCTCCCAGTCGATCTCCTTGTTGAGCGGGTTGTAGAGGAAGGCGGGCGGCTGCGACACCCGGCGGAAGAGCTCGTCGGGCGGCGGCAGCCGCGGCCGCCCCGGGCTGCCCCCCGCGGACGCGCCGGCCCCCGCGGGGCGCTCGTCGGGCTGGGGCTCGTCGGGCTCCGAGTCGGAGCTGGAGCTGCCGTAGGCCGCGAAATAGCCCAGCGGGTCCTCCCCCTGCGCCGCCATGGCGGGGCCGCGCCTCGCACCGCCCGCGGAAACCGCGCCCGCGCCGAGGGTTCCGGCCCCGCCGCGGCCGGAGCGGCACCGCGCCGCCCTCGGGGGAACCGCGGCGGGCACCGGCAGCAGGGATCCAGCGCGGGGTGCGTTCCTCCGAGGGACCCGAGACAGACACCGAAAATCAGACACAAAACCGAGCAACCTCCATTTCTACCTTTTCACACCTGGAGGCCTAAAGGGAAAACACGTTTTCCCTTAATGTCCGGCCACTGGGCTAACCCAGGGCAGACATAGCGCTGACCAGCGCTGTCTATCCAGCAGGGTATCTTTACCACAACAGATTTGTGAAATTTGTTGGAAAAAGTTTCTATTAGACCTCCCTTGTCGTTCACACACACACACATATATATATGTAGCTATATTTATCTGTTACTGTATCAGCTAAAATACTTACTGGCATGGTTCAAATGGCACGATGCTGTGTAGAGGGAGGTTTAGGCTGGATATCAGGAAAAAGGTTTTCACCCAGAGGGTGGTCGGGCACATAACAGGCTCCCCAGGGAAGTGGTCACAGCACCAAGCCTGTCTGCATTCAAGAGATATTTGGACGACACTATCAGGCACATGGTGTGATTCTTGCAGTGTCCTGCACAGCGCTAAGAGTTGGGCTCAACGATCCTGATGGGTCCTTTCCAACTCAGTGTATTCTATGATTCTATGTTCAGATTACTTATACTACCACAGAAGCGGGATAAGGTCTGAGCAAGAGGTTTTGGTTATAATATGATCAAGTCCTTTACTGTAAAGCTACTGAAACTGTGTCCAGCTGACATTTCGTAATCAATGTCATGATCATTATTTTGACAGAAGCCCTACACACAAAGTCCAATGAAAACGACCACTGAAGTGAAACTCCACAGTCCCTGCAACATTTGCAATTCCTTTTTTGAGTCATGCTCCTCAGCACTCAAAGTTCTTGTTTCTCCCCCCCATTAATAAAAATCTTAATTTAAGAATGAAGTCAATATATGCATCGCTGGAGGCAACACTTCTCACACCTGTAGGAAGCTGAGCAGTAATTTGAAAAAAAAGCAAGAATCAGGTTAGTAATACTAGACATGAACCACAGAAACTATTTAAGCAGCTGAGTTCTTGATTTCATATGCATGTTTGCCCTATAGACTGCTCTTGAGTGCAGTCCTACTGGCACAGGTGTTTCACATTAAGTCAGTCTTTCCACCAAAGACAAACCTCTCTAACAAGACAAGGAGAACAAAAGCCTCCCGCACACACAAAACCAAAACCACATATCCACTTATCGGCACTTGCTCTTGCAACCTGCACATCTTAATAACAAGAGAGGCAGGCAGGCAAACAGGCAACTGTACAAAAGAATTTATTCCAAAAGTTGTGATAAAAATATTTTTACAAAATGCACGCTATAAACATTTGGTAGGATAATACATTCATTCAAGATCTCAGGTCAGTAGCTTCCCAGGGAGTGGTCCCTGTAGGGTAGGCTTCCTGCAGGCTGCGTGCTGGGTGGGTGGCACACCCCAGTGTGAGGTGAGAGCTGCAAGGCAGCCTCCACCCTGAGCTGAGGCACTTTGTTAAGGCCAAGCTTGCTCGCTCTCCTCCCTTTACAGCAATCCAGGAAGGGACCCAAACCTAAGCACAGCTCTTTAAGTGGTTACAGTGGGCATTTAGACAAATCACTTTTTAGACATCTCGAGTAAGTGCAACTACAGTTCAAGTTAATGGAAGAGAGGGATTTCAGCCTACCCTTAATTTCGTGTTAGAGAGCAAAGTTTTGCTTGCATATTTAGGCACTTAACTTCCCGAGTGCCATCTAATCCAGGCAGTTTCACTGAAAAGCACTTTCACCATCCTACAGTCTATGACTGTAGATGCATACAAGAAAAACAAGGATTCTTATAAACACATCATTATCAGATGTAAGCTATTCATATACTCGGTATGGAGTGTAGTTGAATATTGCAGTTTATTTTCACCTACTTCCAAAACCAGAGTAGTAATGAAAAACAATTTATAGAGACTATATTGAGGTCCTACAGATGACCTGTCTCCATAAAAGGAGAGCAGTTTAGGAATATTACCTCGTTGTGAATTTAAATGGAATTATATGGCTATAGCACAGTATGAGGGCCTTAAATACAAACCTACCCTTTGATATACTGAAAACATCCCATCACTTTTAAGTGTAGTACCACAGAACACAACTGTACACATGTCCAAGTAAGAGTTTACCTAATTTTAAAATTATTATAGGCCACCTGCATTAAAGGCAGATTACAACTCAAGAGTGTGAGAGGAATACAGTATGTTACACTGTGTCAAGAAATGAGAACCTTCCCATGTTGAAGCAGTTTAAAATGCATTTGACTCTAAACAATTTGAAATGTAAACCTGTCTGTCTGCTTTGAAAAGGAGGTATCTGAAGTGCCACATTTCCAGAAGTCCTCAGGTATGGATACTTTCTTGTTACAGGACTTCTCCTCCACTTTTCCCTACTGAGACAAAACATATAAGCTTTGCTCCTTAAAAGCATCCTACAATAACATTTTCTTACAGCCCTCATGATGCTGTTACAGCAGTTTACATCCTTTTTCCAGTACTAATGAGAATTTATATTTAAAGTGCATCTCGAATCAGGAATCTCAAACTAATATACAAGAATAACATGTCAAGACTTGCAGAAGTATATTTTTGATATCCAGTGCCTTTTGGTTTACCAGCAGGACAAAGTTCAGACAATGAAGAGACTCCTTGCAAATAAGCACAGCTACAGATCTGGCCAGATTTGTAAGGTTTTTAGCAAATGGAGCTGCATACGCATACATGGAGAGCAGGAAATTATCCTGCTGAGAAACATTTAACTTGGTAAATGAGTTTAACCTTTTTGGTAAGTAAGCTTAAGCTTTTAGTTTAGAAAGTTATTTTTTGTTTTTCCATACTCACTACTTTTCCTAACTATCTTTCCCAATTCACCCATCACAGAAACACTAAGAAAAGCTGACTTGTTAGTTTCTGTAGGAAGAAAAAACCCATTTTTCTATAATTCTAGCATAAATATCTGCAGCTACATGTGAAATCTTATACACATTGGTTTAAAAAACAAACCTTTGCTGGTATAGTACCAAGATGTTTTGGAAAAAAGCTCCCTAAATGAAAACAAAATGAAACAAAACCAAAACAAAATGAAAAAAAAAAAAATCAAGCAGCTCCAGAGCCATACAATTACAAAATAAGACTTAAAACAGAAAATGCATAGATTATATATTGTTTCCTCTGATTTTGCTAACAGTTTCAAAACAACATCTTTTTAAGCTGTATGAGACATCACACAAAGTTTCAGTACCATTTGGATGAACATACCAACGTCACTACATTTGCTGTGGTTGAAGAGAACGTGATCTTAAAGGTAAAAAGCAATTGTCACTTGAACTAGTACATGGATCTTGCTGGTCTGACTGGAGCTCTGGGGGTAGAGGGGGTGCACCTGGGTCTCCAGGCCCTGGGAGGGTGGCTGAGAAAACAGTGCTCTGTGAATTTCCCATCTCTGCAATTGGTAAATTCATTGAATGAAGAGAGACAGCAGACACAAAAGCAGCGGTGCTATAATCTTCTTCTGGATGATGTATCTGGGTAGACTCTTTGTCTTTTGTTTTATCAAAAAAATTTGATTCATCAGAAAATGATCTAGAAAGATTATTTGTTCCTCCGTACAGTGAGGTCATACAGGTGCTGCAGCTTAGACCTAAGATAAAAAGACAGAAACTGGATTTAATTACAGTATGGTGCCCTCTTAAAACTGTGTTCTGATTTATATAACAGTAAGGCTGTCAAAGATCAATTGTCTGTATTTTTAACACTTCATCTCCCCTGTGACATCCAATATTCATGACAAATTAGAAAACAAACATGCAGGTTATCTAGGCTGATGTGATTTGTTTCTCTGCACCTCAGTATCAGCTAGTATTTGTCAAAGATGCACTGTAATTTAAGGTTCATTTCAGAAAGTCACTTTAGCCTTTCAGCCCAATTTTTGTTTGATTTTTCTGTGTTCTTCAAAGTTTTAAAAATTTCAGCTACATGGTTCAGCTCCAGAGTGGACAGCATTTGAAGGCTGTTTTACCTGAAGCCAGAGAAAACTTCAGGCCCTTCATCTCTAGGGTTAAAACGTACTTCTTCCTTCTTTATTTCTCTTTTGAGTGTGGAAGGGGAAGTAAAGCTTTTGGCGTAGAAAGCTTATACTTTCTTCCTCTGCCTTAAAATCTGAATACACGTAGTCACTTCAAGCTTTGTGTGTCAACAAAACCTCTGTGCCTGCATGAAACAATGCACACACGTATTTACAGTGTCTAATTTTAAGCTCTGGCATTGAACACATACAGGGGAACTCCCCTCAGGTTGCATTTGCTGGCATATCTTCTGCTGAGGTGCAAAGTTTAACAAAACCAGAGCAACCTGCCACTGCAGCAAATAGCTTCAAGAGAAATGCAAGGTGGAAGATAACCACCTATTTTTGAAAAGCAAAACTGAAATGTGAAGACAGATTTATCCACCATAACAACACAATAGGGGGTGTTTTTGCAATTAATTATTTACGATGTGTTCAGATAGTAAAAAGGCAAAGCCAGGATACATGCACTAGGATCTTAAGCCCAAACTGGTGATATTTCCAAACAGTAGAGGAAGACTTTAATTTTGCAGACCCTCAAAATAAAACTTATGTCTTACACACATTATTATAAACTTGTTACCTTTGAGAGCTTCAAGCTTTTCATTTTTGACTTTCAACACTACATCAGTTATCTTTTGTAACAGGAAGTTTTGTGTTCTTTCTCGTCTGATAGATTCAATCAAAGCATCTAGTCCCTTTGGGTTTTCTGCTAAGTAGTCCAATAACTTCCCAGTTTTTTTCCTACTGGAAGATCGAGCAGAAATTTCTTCAGTGTCCTCTCGAGTGAGTATTTTCTTTGAACGCA